TGTTTGGGCGCTGAAGTCGCCATAGCCAAATGAGAGTGAACTCGTATCTGAAAGCCATATCTCTGAGTTCTGAGTGGGCGCATGTCGCCAGTATGCTGCGTAACTGTTTACATGTGTGAAAAGTGTGTTTGAAAACGAGTCTGATTGCAGCTCACTCCTGACAAGTAGGACCTAGGCATGCATCGTGTAACAGGTGGATATTGAATACCAAACCTGAGTAGGGACTAGTCCAGTAAAGGTTCCCCATAGCTGTGAGTATGGATAGTGCTTAACAAGGATTAGAAGGAGGACGAAAACTTGTACACAATGATGACAAAATGGCCATGGCAGAGAAATCACAGGTAATCATCACGACAAGGCCCAGTCACAAAAGTCCCAGAAATCCATAGCAGTACTGCCAAACATCTAGAGAATTAATGATGACATGAATGATTAAGCATATGATGATGACGACCATAGATAGTGTATCTTCATCTAAAACATACGATGGTGATGTTTGTGAACACCATGACAATGACAATGATGATGATGATGATGATGATGATGACGATGGCATCAGCAGGAACGATGATGGCAACAAATGACGACGATGTCAACAACGATGAAGATGGCACTGACAATGCGCATAACCATACCGTTGATCACATCATGGAATGGAATACTACAATAACAACGGTCATGCTGATACAACACAAGATTTGTGTGTCTAATACCATCTCCCCGACCTGGCACTCCATCGGACTCAGCTGACAGCTCTCTCTCTCTCTCTCTCTCTCTCTCTCTCTCTCTCTCTCTCTCTCTCTCTCTCTCTCACACACACACACACACACACACACGCACACACGCACACACACACAGGTGATGGATCGAGGGACAATGCAGATGGGACTGCTATGAGAGGAAGGAAGAAGGTAATACTACTCTGATGCCAAGATCCACATAAAGGAATGTGTGAAGTAGGATGCAGGAATTATAAAAGAGGATGGTGGGGTCTCGCAGTTACCGCTTGAATCCCCGCAATAAATCTGCCATCTGACCCACATTGTTCGTTCTAATGGGGAACCCCCTTCCCTCCCCAACCTACTGCCTCCCCTCCCTTGTAAGGCCAGCCACCGTTTTTTTCATGTTCTAGCCCCTTCAATGCTGCTCGAGCATCTCGAGAGCATCGAGCCCACGTCCTCGAATAAAGAAGCCAGGCAGCCACCATGCGCTGCTCGCACACAAAGTACCCTTTCCCGCAAGTTTTTGTCGACTGTGTTTCAATATTTTTTATTTTCTCCTCCCCTCCTCCTCCCCCCCTTCCACCTCCTTTTTTACCCTTTTTTCTTCTTTTCTTTTTTTCTTTTTCGGCATCTCTTTGGCGACATTTTATTTATCGCACCTGGTGCACTTCATTGGCACAATGCACGATTAGAGGATTCTACTAGGGACGTAATAATGATCAAGCACTTTCGACAAAGAACCACCGGGCGGGCGACCAAGCACCTCCTTTCCGAATTGAAAACTCCCGTGCTCGCCTCAGTATCAGCATGACTGTGACCGGCCACGAAACCTCGGGAGACCTGGTTTTGCGAGCCGCTAACCGCAGGAATCGCGGAGTTTTCCAAGGATTGTTCGGCGCTTTCCTGATTTACTTCAGCCTGATAAGTCGAGGCACCAGAATGGACTTTCACATAGATCCGGACTATGAGGAGGACTTCGTTGAGTCTGAAGAAGGGGTATCGTCGCTGCGTAACCATGAAGCCTAGTGGCCTGGACCCGTTGTCACTTCTGACGCTCCTCTGCTCACTCGCACTAAGCTTAGCACTCGTACCCAACGTTCTCATCGGCGCGCTGCTTTACTGGGCCTGCCAATTGGAATGCGTGATGCTTTCCCACTCTAGGAGATTCTCTCTTCTCATCTGTGCCACTGCCCTCAGCGCTATCTGCACCTTGGCATTCATCATTGCTACGTTGCTCCTGCATGAATTGCTGACGTGACGAGCGAGAGTGCCTCCCACGCTAAGTTGCCCTGCTTACTGGGTTTTACGCATTTGAAACTGACTCAGAGTGCTACCTCACGATGGTGCAGGATGAGGGATGTGAGAGCACATCCATGGAGCTTTCGACTTGCGCATTCCTGGCGTACCTCGCACTTCTTTCCTTACTAGCGCTTCTCTTCTTCCTAGCCACCCTCCCAAATGCAGGCATGCATGGACAAAAACCCCGCACTGCTCCTCTACCCCACGCAGCACCCCCCCTGCAGCCGTGCCAGCTACCAGATCATGGCACCCCGACTTCTCCTCGCAGTTCGCGCTCACCGTGTCTCTCCACGAGTGCTCGACTATCGGCATCGCCTCATTGCAAGGATCCTATCTCGTCTCCCTCCTCCCCCTCTCCCCCTACCCCTCCCAACCCTCCCTCGTCTTGCTCTCGGCCTTCAGATGACAAAGGAAGGTTTCCCCTCTGATGACGCTGCCAGTGGCAGGCGGCAGAAAGGCCTCAGCGATGTGTCAACCCACCGGTGGATGTGCTGTGATGTCCCTTGCGCATGGATGCAGAAATAGGGGCACGGAAGGGCACGGTGCAGGTTTCTCTTTCTCTTTCTTCCCCTTTTTTTCCCCTTTTTTTCTCCCACGTCTTCACCTCTCCCATGACTGAGTCGTTGCCTTGCTATGACCCTCTCGCGATCGGAGCTTCGTACTATGTTTTCGAGATGTGGAACGATCGTCGGGGGAGCCAGTCATTTTTTTTGTCAAAGAAAGCTCAAGTGTGACTTTTCCGCTCTTTGTTTTATGTGCTGAGTAATTGGATCTCAGGATTTTGCTGAGTAATTGGATCTCAGGATTTCTTTTTTCTTTTTTCTTCTTTCTTTTTTTTTTGCTGGCCAATTTTGTGACACGGAAAATGAAACGTAGATGCATGATGCTCTTAGCAACTTCCCGTCCTTGCTTATTATCGGCTCCTGAGGCAGTCTGATTCCCTGGAGCTGCGGTCGCCCTTCCAGTTACGAGAGCTTTGAGTGTCTGGGTAACTCCGATCTGCTCTCAACTGGAAGAGTAGTCATAAACTCCCTTTTTGTCGCTTCTTTCTTTTGTTGCCTTGGTGTGTTGCTTCTGTCTGACCACGATAGGATGAAATACCCCCCCCCCTGGCAAGGAGGGTTGCTATCACCTATCCTCTTTCAGATAAACCCATCTCTCCTAAGCGCTGAATACGTTTTCCCACCCTGCCTGCCTTGCTTGCATAAATGCTTGTGTATGTGAAGCCTTTTTAGCCCGCTACTCGTATAATCATGCGAATGTGGAAAAATTATTATTATTTACTTTTTCCGTACTTGCCGCGCATCCCATGTGCGGGGTCACAGCACATGCGGCGCAGAGCGCACGCGCATGCACGCGCACGCACATGATGCGGCGCATCACAAAAATAAAATAAAATAAAAAATTGAAAGAACAGGGTGGGGTGGCCAAAAATGCCCCCGCTTCTGAAAATCAGAAATTAAGAGGGAAAAAAGTATGGGCCACGCCATACCCCAAAGCTGTGGGCACATGTCTGTGTGTGTGGGTGTGCATGTCCTAATTGTGTCCAGCATCTTTTCCGAAGGGCCCCAGCAGCAAATTAGCGAGGACCCCACGTGGATCAGAGATAGACTTTGGACTTCCAGTTTGTAGGCGTGGGCCGAGAATATATAGTCTGGATTCGAATTCAGGTCTGTGCATGACAGTTATGGGTCAGTAATTCTCTTTTTCTCATTTTTCTTTTCTCAGGAATACGTACAGTGGCCCTAAGGGCTTCTACTCACCACATGCACAAAAGACAAAACATATGGCAGCGTATTATTCCACGTTCTAGAAGAAGATTCATTCTAATTTTGCACATTTCGTGAGCAGTGCAGCCAAGCCCTGAGAATCACATGCAGAGACCAACAAGGCGCTAAGTGAGCAACCCATAACTGCTGAAACACAAACCTGAATTCGAATCCTGAGTTCAGCCAGCTCGTGCTCCACTTCATATTGACTGCCTGCCTCGATTTTGGTGGAGGCTCTGCGCTAAATTGCTGTGAGGACCCTTCAGTTTACCTGCATGGGCCCTCTGATACGTGTGAAGAGGATCCCGTTGCTCTCTCTCTCTCTCTCTCTCTCTCTCTCTCTCTCTCTCTCTCTCTCTCTCTCTCTCTCTCTCTCTCTCTCTATGTGTATGTGTGTGTATACACACAGAGCGCATCACTAATTTGCGCATGGCGCATGCGCACCGCACGGCGCACCGCAGAGCACAAGTATGATTTTTTCCCTGATTTTTTCCTCCTGGGACGTTGCCAGTTTTTCCTACCGATCAGATTTTCAAACCACTCCGAGAACTTGGTACCAAGTTGATCAGAACCAGCCGGATCTGAACGGTTCCCCAAGGAATTTAGCATTAGGAATCGTAGCGCCTTATGCTGCCGCACGGACTCCTAACCTCCCTCAACTTGTGCATACAACTACGAGCCATGGGGGCAGGAGCCCATCTCAGAGGTTTCCCTTAATCCTTAACTAAGATGGAAACCATTGCACTTTCTTGCACTACCCCTACCTCTTCAACAATCAGCCAACCCCCGCATACAAAAATGGGAACCAAAAACTGGGCCATTCAATCACATATTCAAGGCAACCAACTACAAAAGGGTCCACCTATGACAGAAACACATTGCATGTTCTCGAACCACCACCCATTCCTTAACAACCAGCCAATCCCTGGAGAGAACAACGAACAAGAAGAAAAACTCTGTCCGTCGGATAGTCAATCGAATGGAACAAAAATGAAAAGGGGTGTGCCTCCTGGTGATCAGGGTTGTTGTAAAAGGGACAAGGATATAAGAAAAATGAGCCCCTCTCCCCATCAGGAAACCAGGCAGGTGAACAATTTGTGTCCAGTAAACACGGGCAGTTTTCAAATTTGCTAAGCTCTTTCCAGTACAGAAGCGAGATATGACCCCCTTCGAAATCGCAAGCGCAGTGCAGGGCAAGCAATTACCCTACCCTTGATTATACAAAGCAACTTCAAGTGTTGACAAAGACCAGCAATTCTCCACATCCACAATGTTCACCAAGTTCACTGCATCCACCCAACCGAAAAGAAACATCCATACAATGTCACCACAATTGCTCATACACCTCCATTCTCCCTTTCATTTTTCTGATTATTTGATTCATTCATTTGTTTCTCCAGTGTATCCCATTCATATATGACATCACGGCTACAGAAATCAGTAACTGTCTTCTTCAGCCCAGTTGCAAATAAAAGGATTATTTACCTATTGACAATTTGACATTGTATTGTCCCTTAGTTGTATATTTTACTATATTACATAATTTATATTAAACAAGTGGACCCGCAGCAGCCACGCTGCCGCCGAGGAGAGGGACGAACAGGGGGGCGGGGCTGTTGTTGTCAGGGCACGCTCACACTGCGGTAGCAAATCCGTATAAATTGCGAAAATGGGTTGGGCCGAATCGGGGTATTTGGGACGTTTCAGGTCACACTGCGTTCACACCGCGTTCCCATTTCACTAAAGACACGGTCGCTACCGTGTCATCAGGGTGCTGCTGTTTGGGGTTTCCAGTCACACAGAAGTAACCCCAAATATAGAATGTTCCCTTTTCAACTTTGCATCCATTTACGAAAATTAAATAAAAAAAGAATAAGGATTTTGCGGTAACCTCTGGAGGTTACCTCAAATTCCTCAAACCCGCGGCCAGGCACCTTTTCAACTTTGCATCCATTTACGGAAATTAAATAAAAAAAGAATAAGGATTTTGTGGTAACCTCTGGAGGTTACCTCAAATTCCTCAAACCCGCGGCCAGGCAGGGCGCTGACGAATGGGTTTGCGAATGCGGTGTTTGGGGTGGGAACCATTGTGTGTGACCAGCCGTGTGCACATTTTTTGAGGAGTTTTACGGTTTTGGTACCCAGTGCGAGCGTGCCCTCACACTGTTTGGGCTTTTTTTCTTTTTCTTCTGTGTCGTCATATTTGCTATACGCTAAAAAAAAAACATGACAGTGGCAGACTGTTTCCGACTGATCAGGAGGTTGTGTGTGTGTGATCTCTCTCTCTCATCCTATCAATGGAAGTAGCCTCTCTCTATCTGTCTGCGTGCATGGCTGGAGAACTCTCTCTCTCTCTCTCTCTCACACACACACACACACACACACACACACACACACACACACACACACACACACACACACACGCCCAGGCACGGCCAATTCAACACTTTCATGTGAGCATCAACTGAACAGCCTGCCAACGTGCAAAATAAGAAGGAATCTTCCGCAAGAACATCGGAAAAAGAAATCCCGGTGTGAGTATGGACTAACGACCTGTCAGATGCAAATGTCGCCCCCGCATGCACGCGCGCGCGCGCGAGAGAGAGAGAGAGAGTGTTTTCCACACATCTGTGTGTGAGAAAGAGAGAGAGAGACACTCTCTCTCTCTCTCTCTCTCTCTCTCTCTCTCTCTCTCTCTCTCTCTCTCTCTCTCTCTCTCTCTC